TTCATTTTCCGTGAAAAATTTAGAAAAATAGACGAACTAAACGCGTTTTCAAAATTCTCATTTTTCTTAGAAAATTTTACCTGAAAACGGTCTATTTTTCCGCAACTAAACGCAACCTAACTATCTCACTCTTTTTTCATGTGTTTAGAAATGAGACGGATAAAATAAAATAAAAAAGGAGAAAAAAAAACTAACCGACAAAAAAATGGAAATGATGGAAGGGATGTATACAAAACACCCTTTTGGATGATGTATTGTTTGACAATTTACATAAAATTTTAAAATTGTTTTTTTCGCAATGGTAAATTCTACTATTATCATTTGGTTTGTTTTTGTTATTGTTTTGATCAAAAATCAATCAAGTGGATATCAACCAAATTGTATGACAGGTTGTGTGTTGAGACTATGATGAGTAACAAATTGAGATCAAAATGACACAGGTGGTTTACAAGAAAGATCTTAATCATTGATAGGATCTCCGGCTTAAAACCTTGGGAGGTAATAATGATCACCCGTCTTGTTTGATTTTATTGATTTGAATGCAAATTACAGATATGAATACGAGTGCAAGTGTTTGAGTAATTGTAGGTGTGTGTATGTGTGTGTAGTGTGAATTATACATGTGTATTTATAGTCCAATCTGAATAACTAAAAGTCTGATATTCTCGGGATCCTCTTGAATAAGTATTCACACGTTGCTTTGACTTGGTATTTCCGAGTCTTAAGCCAGTTTAAAGTGATTCTTCGGAATAGATGAGTGTTTTGTTGACTGTTTCAGCACAAGTGAAGAATAAACAAGAAATATAGTCGTTAATCTTGTTAGGGGGTAATAATCATGTTCCTGGTGTATGTTTGGGGATCCTTTGATTTCTTTAAATCCGGGATCCTAGATAGGGTTGAGGATCTTGAACGCTAACAATTTACCCCAAATTATACCTGCAAAATATTTTGGATTAATTCCGAATATTTGAAAGAGTATAATTTCATCATATAATTAAAATAAAATTAAAAATAAGGATTCCGAAATTCAAACTCTAACAGATAGAATTCTAGTTGTTAACTTAGGCATAATTATCTGTCAAATCACTTCTCTCTCCTCTGTGATCTTAAAAAAAGGCGTATGGGTTCCCGATCCTTCTTTACTTCTTCCATCTCTCTTTCAAGCATTATTGATTATCTTGAAGGTAAACTTCTTGTTCCTTTCTTCATGTTTTTCTGTTCGTCAATCATGGGCAAAAAGGCACTTCGTTCTCATGGTAGCATCATCGCCCCCTCCGATGAGGATTTTATTGATCAAAAGATCTTGTCTTACGAAGAGACTTGTTCTTTTGACAATGAAGACATCGAGTCTTTGATGGCAAATGGGGCTTTTCCCATCGGTACCGTCTTTAAATCTTTTGATGCTCTTGTTTAGCCAGATTTCACTTCTCCTACTTAGGTTTACTTCCATGAGTATCCATTCTCTTTGGGGTTGACATACCCTTTTTCTGGTGTTGTCTCCAAATTCTTTGAGGTCACCCAAATTTCTTATATCCAAGTTATGCCAGTGATCTGGAGGATTCTCTTCTAGATTGATCGTCTGAATCATTCCATGGATCTTAATAGTGGTTTGTCTGAGTTAGCTCATATCTATGATTTTTCAACTTTTGGGAATTCTCGTTTCCTGCTCAAAGTCAAAACTAACAAACCACGTCTTATTTTGAAATAAAAACAAAACGATGGTGCATAGAAAGAAAAATATTTCTTTGTGAGGCGTGATTCTATCCCCAATGGAGATCCCCTGCCAAAAATTGGGTTAAAAATGGTAGGATTTTATTTTGTTATATTCAGGATCCTAAAATTCACGCTTCCTTATTTTGTTTGTTTAGATGCAACTTTCAAGTTTGAGGACGTTGCTTCGGCTGCTGAAGATACTGAGGAGAAGATTGAAAGCTTTCTTGCTTTGCCCGAGGCTTAAAGATCTTTCAGACTCGAACAACCCAGCTTCCAAGAGAGTTTGTCTTCTAGTGTCCCAATGTCGAAAGGTAAGGACCCTCTATCTGTTTTATTTTATTTGGAGGATCTTGAACTTATCGAGTCTCTTTGTCACATACATGATCGAAGGCCACACACTTTAGTGCTCAGTTCACCCTTGCTGATATCGACTCTGCCATGTCCATTGGCCAATTTGTGGTTAATAAGGAAAAGGCCTCATCGACTTTAGGATCCAGGAAAAGGAAGTCGGATGGGGCTCCGGATCTTATCTTGGAGAACCTTGGAGTAGAGGAGGCACTATTGAAGCTAATCTCTTTCTCTCGGTCTGTAAGTACTTTCGATCTCTTTTCTGCTTGACTTCAGTTTGATCACTATAATCTTTTATCGGTCGTTGATCACGTTTCTCGATCCACTGAAGATCTAAAGGTCAGGTTTGAGTGGGCAGAACACGCCTTAAAGGAGCAAGACGGGATCAATAGGGATCTTATGCAGAGGGTGGAGAAGCTGGTTAAGGAAAAAGTGGAGAAAGAGGAAGTGCATGTCCTGGAGATCAAAGAGGTGATTGTTGAGGTTAAAAGCAGTGTCGCCGAGGCCATCTGAGAGGTAAAGATCAAGCTCGCGGAGGATTTGGAGAATGTTGTCACACCCCCAAAACGGAACGGCGGAAACGTTCGGGGGCGGAGGACGTCATGCTCAGTATCACAACACATGCATCATAGTAAAAACAATCAACAACAACTATTGCATTAATATTAAAGTGTTTACACGTATTCGATTCACAGAAGATTGACTCCAAAAGTAAATAACAAAACAAAGACATGAAGCTATTATGCTCCATCTTCTGAATCCCTGTGCATGTACTTGTCTACTAGTTCCCTGAGAATACAAGTTATTTTGAAAGAGTAGATCAGCATTTAAGCTGGTGAGTTCATAAGTATTTTAGTTATAAGAAGTATACTCTAAGTTCTTTATAAAAGTTCGCCTATTCCTCCATAAAATCCTATATTTTCTGATATGATGAATGATAAGTAAAAATGACTCTACAATTCCTTCTATGAGTACTTAATGAATACAAGTTATATAAAATCCAGATCAAACAGACAATTGATTGTGTGAATCTTTCCTAAGCCCACAACCAAACAAGGAACAGGAAATGAGGCGGAAGTCACACATCCCATTGTTTGTTAGATCCTCATTGTATATAACCCTGACATTTTCACTAGGTGCTTACGGAGTTAACTGTAATAGTTCTTTTATATTTGATGAATATATTCCTTAAGAAAATCATATATTTCCTTTATTAAGAATGGTAACCACGATGCAAGAATAACTCACCAAAGGAGTGTTAGAAGCAAGTTGGAAGGCTGAAATGGAGTTCATGCCCCTATGGGGTGTTCACGGCCCAAGAACAGATGAGTGTTCACGGCCCAAGTTGAAGGGTTCACTACCCTGAAGAAGG